CACTGATTTTCATATGGCCTGTTAATGAAGAATAGCTCTTACATTTTTAAATATTTAGAAAAAATAAAAAGAATAACATTTCAAGATCTGTGACAATTACCTAAAATTCAAATTTTAGTATCAATAAATAAAACTTTATTGGAACACAGCCATGCACATATCCTCTGTCTGCTTTCATACTACAAAAGCAAAGCTGAGTAGTTGCTACAGTCTTTATGTGGTGTGCTCATCTCTTTGCACTGCTGCTTGATGCACTAAAAATTGCAGGGATACAGTTATAACTTGACAGCTTTTCAAGTGCCATGCATATCTCTGTGCTGCAACATTTTATTTAATTACCAGAGCATATCCATCATGTGTAAACGAGAAAAGTGGACTTCAGATATCACACTTTTAAAGGATAGTGGAGTACGGATTATTTTGTTATAGATAGCAAAGCAATCTGTTTATTATGCAATGGTACTACCGCTGTGCAAAAAGAATACAATATACATCGTTATCACCAGACTAAACACTCGTCACAAAATTTTGGACGCAGAAAGGAAGTCAGAGAAATTAGAAAATTTAAATGGAGTATCTCATGACAGCAGAATTACTTATCAAAATTTAAAAATGAAATATGCCGTTGCAATCAAAGTAAGTTACAGAGTGGCTCATTTTTTTTTAACCCAAGTAAGCAAAGCCTTTACCAATGAGTTAATTAAAACACGTCTGACTACAACAGCCAAAGAAATGGGTCCGGAGAAAATAAACTTGTTTAAATCATCAGCTTTTGGTGAGAACTGACCCGCGAAGAGTTGAGACACTGGGCGCAACATCAACAGTCAATTAAAAAACACGGGAAGTGGGGTCCCCGCTCCTTCCGCCCCAGATCCTAACTGGGTTTCCAGTCCCTCTGGAACCCTCCCACCTTCGTCGCTTCCGTCCTCCCGGCCAGGCTTCCGGGATCAGCCTTTCAGTCCCCTGCGCCCCGCCCCTAGAGCGCCCTTACTCATGCCCCGCCCACCTATCCCCGGCCTTCCTGCCAAGGCTGCAGTCCCGTCTCAGCAGTCATCCCGTCCTAGTCGTCCTCTCCCCGCAGGCCTGGGGAAGACGCTTGCCCTGAGGGCCCTGTCGTAACCTGGGAGGAGCAAGCGACACTCCCCGGAAGTGACGCAAAATGACGGCGGCGTGCGAGCGGAGTGGCTGCGTCAGAGAGCCATAGAAGATAGCGGTCGCCGCGGGGGTTAAAGTTGCTCGTAATTTTCACTTGTTGGAAGAACTTGAAGAAGGTCCGAAGGAGTAGACGATGGTATGGTTAGCTGGAGCCTTGAAGAAGATAACACATTTACAGGGTGGATAGGCATGATTATTGTGTTATCAAGCACGAATTACGATACTACATAGCCTGAAAGTAGCATATGGACCTAAATACCCTGAAGCTCCTCCATCACTTAGATTTTTAACAAATTAATATGATTGAAATAATTCCCGTGGGATGGTGAGTGCACACAGCACCCCAAAATGCAAAATAGCAAAATTCGTATAGCATTAAAGTTGTACTGAGACGTCTAATGATGTCCAAAGAAAATAATGCTTCTACAGCCAGAATGACAAACTTACAATTTTAATGAATCTCAGCTTGTATTAAATCAACAGGTTTCTAATGAAGTTAGTATCTTGATTAAGTATCACAACAAACACATTAAGTAAAAGAATTGCAGTTTGTAAACATGACCTGGACATTTGTAAAAATGTATTTATTATGTTACACCCGTTATAGTTTCAGGTAACAAGGAAGAATGCAGCATAATCTTTTTTTTCTGTTTTATCAAGGTGCTGTCAGTTAAGCAGAAACATGGAGTGCTCAAAATAGAATTCAAGTTTACAAGGGGAAAGCATGGCAAGAAGTCTCAGATTCCTGTTCAGGGATGTATGTTACTGAAAAGTAATCTCGAGATGGCAAAAACACCAATGACAAGCTTCATCTGTTTTGCTTGGTGGAACAGCTGCAATTCAAATTGTCTAAAGTAGCGTATTACTGCAAATTGTGTTAATTTTTTAACCGGTGTGGGTGCTGATTACCAGTAGTATCAACCATATGTTCAGGATATTTTTGTGTGTGTGGTAAAATACATATCACACAGGATTTGCTGTTTCAACCAGTCTTAAGTGTATAATTCGGTGATATTAATCAGCTTCACTATGCTGTGCAACTGTCACCCCTACGCTTTTCAAAAAAAAAAAAAAACCCCAGTATACCCCTTAAGCAGTAAGTCCTCATTCCACCTCTCTCCATCCTCTGGTAACCACTGATAAACTTTTGTCTCTATGACTTTCCTGTTCTAGGTATTTCATATAAGTGAAATCATATAGTATTTTTCCTTCTGAGTGTGACTTATTTCACTTAGCATAATGTTTTCAAGGTCCATCCATATTGTAGTATGTATCAGACCTCATTTCTCATTATGACTGAATCATATTCCTTTGTATGTATGTACTATATTTTGTTTATCCATTCATCTGTTGATGGACATTTGGGTTGTTTCCACCTTTTGGCTATTGTAAATAATGCTGCAGTGAATATTGGTGTACAGTAACTATTTGAGTTCCTGCTTTAAATTGTTCTGGGTATATGTCTAGCAGTGGCATCGCTTGTTCATATGGTAAGTCTATGTTTAATTTTTTGAGGAACCACCAGACTTTTTCCATTGAAGCTGCACTGTTTTATATTCCTGCCAGCCGTGGATCATACAACACTTGTTGTCTCTGTTTTTCTGATAATAACCATCCTAGCTGGTGTAAAGTGGTATTTCATTGTGGTTTTGATTTGCATGTCCCCAATAGCTAATGAAAAGGTCTCTAGTGGTGCAAATGTTTTGCGCTTGTCAACTAACCTAAAGGTTGGTGTCTGAGTTACCAGTGCTGCTATTACAGAAATACCACAAGTGGGTGGCTTTAACAAACAAATTCATTTTCTCACAGTTTAGGAGGCTAGAAGTCCAAATTCAGGGTGCCAGCTTTAGGGGAAGTCTTTCTGTTGGCACTGGAGGAAGGTCCTTGTTTCTTCTGAGCTTCTGCTCCTGGGCAATCTTCATGTGCGTTGGCATCTTTCTTTCCCCATCTCTACTTCTCTTGCTTGCTTGTTTAATCTCTTTTATATCTCAAAGGAGATTAATTGAAGACACACCCTGCACTAATCCTGTCTCATTAACATAATAAAGACAATCTATTCCCAGTTGGGAGTATAACCACAGGAATAAAAAGGAAAAAAGAAAAAAGCCTGTTACTGTGGAGTCCATCCCGACTCAGCAACTCTATAGGACAGAGTAGAACTTCCCCATAGGGTTTCCAAGGAGCAGCTGGTAGATTCCAACTGCTGAACTTTTGGTTAGCAGCCAAGCTCTTAACCACTATGCCATCAGGGCTCCAACTACAGGAATAGAGGTTAGGATTTACAACACGTTTTTCGGGAACACAATTCCATCCATAACAGTTGGTGTTTCAAACCTACATAGTGGCACTGTGAAAGAAAGGTCTGCAGATCTGCTTCCATAAAGATTACAGCCAAGAAAACACCATGGCGTGGTTCTACTCTGTAACTCATGGGTTGCCATGAGTCAGAATTGACTCGAAGGCAATGAGTTTTTGGTTTTAATAACTAATGGAAGTTCCTGGGTGGTGCAAAGAGTTAACGTGCTTGGCTGATCACTGAAAGGTTGGAGGTTTGAGTCCACCCAGATGCACCTTCGATAGAAGGCTTGGAAGTACACTTCTGAAAAATCAGCCATTGAAAACCCAGTGGAGCACAGTTCTATTCTGACACACACAGGGACACCACGAATTGGAGTTGACTAAACAGCAACTGGTTTATTAGGGTTATAAAGGCATATGCACGGAGATTGTTGTTGTTTGGTGCCTTCAAGTTGGTTCCGACCAATAGTGACCGTATGTACAACAGAATGAAACACTGCCTCGTCCTGTGCCATCCTCACAATTGTTACTATGTTTGAGTCCATTGTTGCAGCCACTGTGTCAGTCCATCTCATTGAGGGTCTTCCTCTTTTTTCCTGATCCTCTACTTAACCGAGAATGATGTCCTTTTCCAGAGACTGGTCCCTCCTGACAATGTGTCCAAAGTACATGAGACAAAGGCTCACCATCCTTGCTACTAAGGAGCATTCTGGCTGTACTTCTTCCAGAACAGATTTGTTTGTTCTTTTGGCAGTCCATGGTATGTTCAATATTCTTCACCAACACCGTAATTTTAAGGCATCATTTCTTCTTTGATCTTCCTTATTCATTGTCCAGCTTTCACATGCATATGAAACAATGGAAAATACCATGGTCTTGGGCAGGTACACCTAAGCCCTCAAAGTGATATCTTTGCTTTTTAACACTTTAAAGAGGTCTTTTGCAACATATTTGCCCAGTTCAATCCGTTGTGTGATTTCTTGACTGCTCCTTCCATGGGCGTTGATTGTGGATCCAAATGAAATCCTTGACACCTTCAATCTTTTCTACATTTATCATGGTGTTGCTTATTGGTCCAGTTGTGAGGATTTTTGTTTTCTTTATATTGACATGTAGTCCATACTGAAGGCTGTAACCTTTGATCTTCATCGGTAAGTGCTTCAAGTCTTCTTCACTTTCAGTGAACAAGGTTGTGTCATCTGCATATCACAGGTTGTTAATGAGTCTTCCACCAATCTTGATGCCACATACTTCATATAGTTGAGCTTCTTGAATTATTTTCTCAGCATACAGACTGAGTAAGTACGGTGAGAGGATACAACCCTGACACACACCTATCCTGGGTATTAGTGATCCATTTTCCTCTATCCATACTAAATATTAAGCTTAGGAGCCAACACTGCCTTAGGGACATGAGAAAATGAAAGAACAAGATGAATTGTGTACTAGAAGGGATTGCTAGTTTGTCTGCTGAATGAAGTCAGGCTTGTCCAAAGTAAGATAAAGTGCCAAGATGACTTTTGATGTATTTTTCTGTCATTCCCTTTGTGTGTCCCCAAGTTCACATTACAAGCAGTTTTATACTTTTCACAATGTATGTCACATTAGCAATAAAAATACCTGGAATGGCTTGGCCACTGAAGTGTCAAATGTCAATTGCACCAATAAGAAAAAAAAATGAAAATATTCAATAGACAGGCAGGAGAGTTCAGCAGATGGTAGTGATAGATAACTACCTCTGTGCTCTTTTCTCTCCACTGAGCTTTCCAGTAGTCATTTCATCAGCTGGATGTCCTCCCAATGAAGATATGAAAAGAGGTAGAGAGGAATCCCAAGCATGAAACTGATTGTTCCTCATTAAGTAGGCTCTCGTCTTACCTCTTTGTGTCTATAGAATGCAGTTTCTGAGGTTGATAGCCTTGTGGAAGGTCCGGCTGAGGGCATTCTTCACCTCCTTATTTCTCAGGCTGTAGATAATGGGGTTCAACATGGGAGTCACAATAGTGTAGGACAATGACAGCAGTTTCTTGCTCTCGGGAGAATTATTTGACTTAGGTCGAAAGTAGGTGAGGCTCGAAGATACATAGAAAAGGGAGACAACAAGGAGGTGGGAAGAACAGGTAGAGAAGGCTTTTCGCTTCCCTTTTGCTGAGGGAATCTTAAGGATGGCAGCAGCTATGTGAGTGTAGGAACATAGGATCAGCATGCAGGGTGTCATGATGACCAGAATAGTTCCAATGATGGCATAGATCTCAAACAGTGCTGTGTTTGCACAGACCAGACTCAGCACAGGTGGGCTGTCACAGAAGAAGTGGTTCACCTTGTTGGTGCCACAGAATGGAAAGCTGAAGAGCCAAGTGGTCTGCACAGTAGCCACTGGAAAGCCTGGAAACCAGGAGGCAGCAGCCAGTTTGGCACAGGTCCTTTGGTTCATGATGATTGGGTAGTGCAGGGGGTTGCAAATGGCTAGATAGCGGTCATATGCCATGGTGGCCAGGAAGAAGCATTCAGCCACCCCGAAGAAGAAGAAGAAGTACATTTGAATAGCACAACCAAGGAAGGAGATGGTTGTGTCCCGGGTAAGCAGGGTCCCCAGCATTTTCGGTACAATGACTAGGTTGAAGCCAATCTCCAAGAAAGACAAATTCCTAAGGAAGAAGTACATGGGGCTGTGCAACACAGAGTCAGCCAAAGTAACCAAAATGATGAGGCTGTTTCCCATCAGAGTGATGAGGTAAATGATCAGAAACATCATGAAGAGTAATGACTGTATTTCAGTAGGCAGGGAAGAGAAGCTCATGAGGATAAAGTCACTTACTCTTGTCACATTTCCTCCAGTCACAGGTATAGGCATAAGTGCTCAGCTGTGAACATAGATATTCTTGATTGGAAGAATCAGATTCTGGATTTGTTGTTCAGATTTCGTCTCAGTGTCAGAGAAAGAGGCAAGGTCAGGATCTAAATTTTAAGAGGAAAGGCCTGTGTTTTTTAAAAAATAAAGACGAACAATGGGCGGAACCTAAACTTCGAGATGGACTTGGATCAGCTTCTGGAGTTTATTTTTTACATATTTGCACATTAACATGTACAGAAAGGCCATGCAAAGTCAGAAACATGAGCTATTCAGTCCCTGAAAGGACCATCAAAAGACACATTTTGAAAGATGGTGATATTCCTGAAAATATGTAAAATTTTAGAAAATGTGCCCCAATGTTATGATTTCACTAAACAACGTACACGTGAATTTATCAAAACTTTAAAACGTATTTATAATTAAAATGCTGAATAATGGATCCAATGATTTTTCTGCTCTTTATGAATCTTTCATGCCAGGTTAGAAATTCAGATTGGAGAGTAAGCTAACATGTAGAACATGTTACCAAGTATATGTAACATGAAATAACATGAAGACCAAGTATATGCCAGACACTCCACATATTGTATGGCATGGTTTTATCTGTTTACATACTTATAGGTGGTAGACTGGTCTCAGAGAAATAAAGGAACTTGGCCAAAGATACACAGCAATTAAATAACAAATCCAGAATCAAAGCTACATCTGTCAGACACCAGAGTCCAAATGTATGCGCTACCTGGATTGTCTTGCCTTCATCTAAGGGCTAATTCTTTAATGCATAACAGAATTCAAATAGAAATTTCTACAAAATCAGAATGAAGATAGAGGAAAAGAGGATCATGAGCACCAACGATAGTTACATCAAGATATTCAGGAGCTTCCGTGAGGTCCACTGGATCTCCCTGTAGAAATTAGTTTCAAGTTTTAAATTGATTATTAAAGGGCTTCTCTCTTCTTTTTATCTTGGTAATCTTGAATTTGGAATTTTCACAGAGAAATGGTGAAATCAGGCTGGAAATGGAATTAGCTGGGTGACTGGGATAAATGAAAAATTAATTTAATATGATAAGGGAAATGTTACCAAAAAAAAAAAAAACTCAAAAAATGAAATCATCATTAGGATCAGAAAAAGAGCTGAGACCAGATAAATAAGGACCAATGATGTGGCCAATCATTCCTACACATTACAGAGTCAAAATGGCCTCATACGCCATGGTAAGGAGTTTGGAATTTATTATATGGATGAAGAAGAGCCTTTCAAAATTTTCGATCAGAAGAGTGAGTGTCAGTTATGCCATGTAGAAAGATTACTCTGATGTGTAAGAATGGATAGGGTAATGTGAAAGTAAGAGAAAGGGCAGTGTGCCTGGATTCAAGCAGAACAGTTGAGAGGCTATTGCAATAGCTCATTTTTGCCTACTTTTTTTAAAAATGACCCATTTTCTGCTTTGTTACCATATTTGCCAAAACAAATCTGCTCATGTCCATGCACGCCTATTTTCTGCTAACACTACCTTTGTAGTGGGTTTAAAGAAGGGGAATCCTGAGGCAGTAGAGTGGTTCCAGATGAAAAGACAATAGGAAATTTCCATTCATACCCATTATATATCCCCCTTATTCAGAGAGTTGAAGTTTTGATATTATCCACCTCCTGACAAAATTAGTACTTACCTTTCTAGATCCTTTTAAGGACTACAATTCCAAAACAATTTGAGAGGGTCTTGTTGTTTGTTGTTGTTAGTTGCCATCCAGTAGATTCTGAGTCATGACTACTCCATGTGTTCAGAGCAGAACTGCTCCATACAGTTTTTGAGGCTGTGACCTCTCAGAAACAGGTCGCTAGGCCTGTCTTCCAAGGCACCTCTGGGTAGGTTGGAACCACCAACCTTTCAGCTGGTAATTGAGCACTTAACTGTTTGTGCCACCCAGTGGCAAAAGTGTTTTGTTGTTTCACATCTTTCGAAGGGATGCAAAGTAGGAAAGGAGAGTCAGGGGGATGAAAGGGAACAATATCTATGTTGTTGTTAGGTGCCCTGGAGTCGATTCCAACTCATAGTGACTGTACAACAGGACGAAACACTGCCCGGTCCTGCACCATCCTCACTGTTGTTATACTTGAGCGCATTTTTGCAGCCACGGTGTCAATCCATTTTGTTGAGAATCTTCCTTTTTTTCACCCACCCTCTACTTTACCAAGCTTGATGTCCTTCTCCAGGTACTGGTCCCTCCTGATAACATGTCCAAGGTATGTGAGACGAAGTCTTGCCATTCTTGCTTCTAAGGAGCATTATGGCTGTACTTCTTCCAAGACAGCTTTGTTCATTCGTATGGCAGTCCATGGCATGTTCAGCATTCTTCGCCAACACCGTAATTCAAAGGCGTCAATTTTTCTTCCATCTTCTTTATTCATTGTCCAGCTTTCATATGCATATGAGGCGATAGAAGACACCATGGCTTGGGTCAGGTACACCTCAGTCCTTAAAGTGACATCTTTGCTTTTTAACACTCTAAAGAGGTCTTTTGCAGCAGATTTGCCCAATGCAATGCGTCATTTGATTTCTTGACTGCTGCTTCCATGGGTATTGATTGTGGATCCGAGTTAAATGAAATCCTTGACATCTTCAATCTTTTCTTCATTTATCATGATGTTGCTTATTGGTCCAGTTGTGAGGATTTTTGTTTTCTTTATGTTAAGGTGTAATCCATACTGAAGACTGTAGTCTTTGATCTTCATCAATAAGTGCTTCAAGTCTTCTTCACTTTCAGCAAGCAAGATTGTGTCATCTGCATATCACAGGTTGTTAATGAGTCTTCCTCCGATCCTGATCCCACATTCTTCTTCATATAGTCCAGCTTCTCTGATTATTTGCTTAGCATACAGATGGAATAAGTATGGTTAAAGGATACAGCCCTGATGCACACCTTTCTTGATTTTAAACCACACAATATCCCCTTGTTCTGTTTGAACGACGACTGCCTCTTGGTCTCTAAACAGGTTCCTCATGAGCACAATCAAGTGTTTGGAATTCCCATCCTTCATAATGTTATCCATAATTTGTTATGACCCACACAGTCAAATGCCTTTGCATAGTCAGTAAAACACAGGTAAACATCTTTCTTGTATTCTCTACTTTCAGCCAGGATCCATCTGATATCAGCAATGATATCCCTGGTTACATGTCCTCTTCTGAATCCAGCTTGAATTTCTGCCAGTTCCCTGTCGGTGTACTGCTGCAACTGCTTTTGAATGATCTGCAGCAAAAGTTTCTTTGTGTGTGATATTAATGATATTTTTTGATAATTTCCACCTTCTGTTGGATCACCTTTTAATGGGCACAGTTATGGATCTCTTCCAGTTAATTGGCCAGGTAGTTGTCTTCCAAATTTCTTGACATAGATGAGTGAGCGCTTCCAGCGCTGCATCTCTTTATTGAAACATCTCAGTTGCTATTCTGTCAATTCCTGGAGCCTTTTTTTTTGCCAGTGCCTTCAGTGCAGCTTGGATTTCTTCCTTCAGCACCATCAGTTCTTGATCTTATACTACCTCCTGAAATGGTTGAATGTCAACCAGCTGTTTTTGGTACAGTGATTCTGTGTATTCCTTCCATCTTCTTTTGATGCTTCCTGTGTCATTTAATATTTTCCTCATAGAATCCTTCAGTATTGCAACTCAAGGCTTGAATTTTCTCTTCAGTTCTTTTACCTTGAGAAATGCCCGAGTGTGTTTTTCCCTTTTGGTTTTCTAACTCTAGGTCTTTGCATATTTTATTATAATACTTTGTGTTCTCAAGTTGCCCTTTGAAATCTTCTCTTCAGCTCTTTTACTTCATCATTTCTTCCTTTCGTTTTAGCTACTCTATGTTCAAGAGCAAGTTTCAGCATCTCTTCTGACATCCATTTTGGTTTTTTCTTTCTTTCCTACCTTTTTGATGACCTCTTGCTTTATTCATGTATAGTGTCCTTGATGTGATTCCACAACTGCTCTTAGGTCATTAGTGTTTAATAAGTCAAATCTATTCTGGAGATGGTCTCTAAATTCAGGTGGAATATACTCAAGATCATACTTTGGCTCTCTTGGACTTGTTCTAATTTTCTTCTGCCTCAACTTGAACTTGCATATGAGCAACTGATGGTCTGTTTCACAGTTGGCCTCTGGCCTTGTTCTGACTGATGATACTGAGCTTTTCCATTGTCTCCTTCCACAGATGTAGTTGATTTGATTCCTGTGTATTCCATCTGGTGAGGTCCATGTGTATAGTTGCTGTTTGTGTTGTTGAAAAAAGGTATTTTCAATGAAGAGGTCATTGGTCTTGCAAAATTCTGTCATGAGATCTTCAGTGTTATTTCTATCACCAAGGCCATATTTTCCAACTACTGTTTCTTCTTCTTTGTTTCCAACTTTGACATTCCACACACCAGTAATTATCAATGCATCTTGATTGCATTTTTGATCAATTTCAGACTGCAGAAGTTGGTAAAAATCTTCAATTTCCTCATCTTTGGTGTTAGTGGGTGGTATATAAATTTGAATAATAGTCTTATTAACTGGTCTTCCTTGTAGGCGTATAGATACTATCCTATCACTGAGCGTTGTACTTCAGGATAGATCTTGAAATATTCTTCTTGACGATGAATGCAATGCCATTCCTCTTCAATTTCTCATTCCTGACATAGTATACCATATGATTGTCTGACTCAAAATGGTCAATATCAGTCCATTTCACATCACTAATGCCTAAGATATCGATGATTATATGTTCTATTTCATTTTTGATGACTTCCAATTTTCCTAGGTTCATCCTTTGTACATTTCACGTTCCAATTATTAATGGATGTTTGCAGCTGTTTCTTCTCATTTTGAGTGGTGCCATATCAGCAAATGAAGGTCCCAAAAGCTTGATTCCATCCACGTCATTAAGGTTAACTCTACTTTGAGGAGGCAGCTCTTCCTCACTTGTATTTTGAGTGCCTTTCAACCTGAGGGGGCTCATCTTCCAGCACTATATTAGACAATGTTCTGCTGCTGTTCATAAGATTTTCACCAGTAATTTTTTTCAGAAGTAGACTGCCAGCTCCTTCTTCC